TATATATATATGTTATCTTATCAATGAGGCCATTATATAGGAACGAAAATAAAATATTTGTTATCTTTGTGAACATATAGTTATGATGACTTAACTCTACGAGTGTGAAAATTTTGGTCGAATAAGGGATGGAGAAATAGATGGTCAGACAACGAAGTGATAATCTTTTTTTTTATTTATTTTTTGTAACCTGACTTATATAGGATTTTACTATTGGTCCAATACTTAAGATTAGTTACTAGGTGGCCTATATTGGCGCGGTAATAGCAACCATGACTGACCCACTAATGGGAATACTATGAGATGATAACTTTGGTCCGATAATGGGTAATTATACTGGCCAAACATGATATACAATGTTGGACCATTAATGGTCGTCTTATCATGCCAATATTTTGACAATAATAATGGTTTTAATGCAGTGCCGTGATTATTCCAATTATTTTAAATGCTTTCTAACAAGAGACACAAATGTCACAGTGTAACACAGTGAATCATTTTATCTTTGTTTAACATTGTTACATAAGAATAATTCACTATGTTCACTGTCATCTGTGATAAATGGTTTCTTCATTGTGATCTAATATAACCTCACTTACATTATTGTACAAAATTTTATAAAATACTGGTTTTTATAACAAAATGCGGGTGGGTCAGAGTTAAGAAGTAGTTTAAAAATTTTTTTATAAAGCAATAAACCCAACGATTTTTGGCACGCAATGCATGCGTATAATAAGTTATCTACGTCTCCTATGTTGAATTTTTTCAATAGCGTAACCGTTCAAGCAGCTAAGTAACCATCGAATGTGATTAATTCTTAACTTTAGATCCAATTTTAGATTCTTAACTTTATTACAACTAATTACATCAAATTATTACTTATGTTTGCCATTGCTTTAGTTATGGACGCCATAACAGATTTTGTATGTTATCGCCTGTGGAATTGAAAATGCGCTATACATACGAGAACAGAAATGTCATAAACAATCGAAATTGCGAACGTATCGGAGAAGACATAAGAAGATATGAGAAGGAATGAGAAGAAAGCATATGGAGAAGGAATGAGAAAGCATGATAAGACATTTGTGTCTTTATGCATACAAGCGTTAGAATTCCATAAGCGATAGCACACAAAACACTTTCTGCTGTATCGTCCATATGGCGGAACTGAAAGACACTGAAGTCTTTCCGAATATATGAGAAATGAAGAGCTTTTATATATGTAAAGAATTTCAGAGCTGCTGTTTACTTTAGCACTCATATTTTGTTAATAAAACAAGAACTTTGTATATTACGTATATTATTGTATATTATTTGAATTTTTCTTATATTATAAGTTTAACAATAAATAAAACACTGTAAATACACACACACACACACACACACACACACACATACATTATATTATACGAGTAAATGTATATTTATAATATGATTATATGTATAATAGTTACATTCTTTTAAATTATTAGTTTTTGTTAATAAAAATATTTATATCTTTAATAAGATTGGAAAATAAGACCGTTTATGTTAGATACATTACTTTAAATACGAAGTGCCACTAACATATATAATAGTTCAACATTTTAACATTCAGACCGTAGTGATGCTTCGTATTTAAAGTAATTTATATCTTTGTACAAAATTATTATAACATTATTATAATATTCCGGAATCAACATCTATTTGTTCTACCTATATATTGTTTAAAAAGCTTTTGTAGGGTTATAAGTGCCAGAATTTATCGCGTCTTTCTTCTGTTCCTAACTATCCCATTTATAATATAATGTATTTCCATTGATGTATAACATTCACTTCGATTCCGAAGCTCATAATTGCCATCGACAGAATTAGTACGACAAACAATGTTCAATTTTTATTACAGTATATTATACACAATAATGTTGTATACGTATTATAGCACTCAAGCTACAAAATGGGATTCTCCGACAAGATACGAGTTTATCTTTGGAATTGGAAAACCCAAGAGAAATACTACACAAGTATTCTTTGAATTAAATATTTATTAAAAAGTTACTTACTCTTTCTAAAGTTATTGTTTTATCTTCGCCACGACACTAAATCAGTCTTATGACGTAATCGCAGCAAAGATATTCCAGTAAGGTGTTGCTGGAATCTCACAAGTTCACGACACACATTATTAACAGAGTAACGGTTTTTATATTTTCACGGATATTATCTTCAAAGATATCAAAAGGTATGCAGATTGTCGTCATGTTTTTATCCATTGCTAATACCAACGTTTCGTAAAATTTGCTCACTTTTTATCAGGGCAAGGAGCGCATTGATACTGATTATTAATAGAGTTTCGGAAAAAAAACATGATGATGTGTTTCGATGTTTCTTTATTTTAATTGTTAATAAAAGTTATATTTCGCGGTGTTCTACTTTGGTTTTTATAATAAAATGAAATACATTCGTGAAATGCAGTAAGTTGTGCTTGACTTCTTTGCGTATTGCACGGATTGCGTGAAAGTAACCCAGTTAAAGTTCTCATAACAAATTGCATTTATATGTAGAATGCATTAACTAGCAAATTTTTGAGTTACATAGATCAATCGTAACTTTTTGGATTGCAATAATAAGATAATATAGGGTAACTCCGGCAAATACGCGCTGGGATTTACGCCGCAGAAGTCAGAAAAAGTAGAAGTAATGGGGGTAATTTTTCAGCAACTATTCTCTATTACATATCTTTATGTTATATTAGTATAGTTACAATTTCAATTTCTTATTGTTAATATTAATGAAATTATTGTGAGTTGAATCGATTTGTCACTGCATTAAATAGCATCATCATAAATTATAATCTACATAAAATGATTACTGTAGGACGTGCAAAAGACTTAGTGGTTATTTCGTGATACATGAATGTAGAGGAGTGTAAAGCATGTTGTAAAACAAAATACAAGTACTTTGCTCTTGTATTCTTTGTTTAGTTTGTTGTCTTGTATATCCTATCTGTTTGGGATATACATTTTTAGCGAGCGGGATTTATGCCCAAAGCATACAAAATGCGCAGATTGAATTCAGCGCACTAAATCCAATAAACGCATTACATGGAATATGTACTTTATGTCATAACACTTGTAATATATGTGGGAAGATTGTAATTATTATTTATTATTTCATATACATACATATTTATCATTCTTATTCCTTAATAAAACTTTATAAACGCATTTTATACGTTATTGTGTCGTTTTACATCTTATTTATATGCATTATTTGTAAATTTTTTATGAGCTGTACATACCCTCCTCCCCTTCCCCTATGAGTAGCATATTAGAGTTCTCATATATCCCACCTCTATGGAATATTTGGCAAAAAATGCAAGGGTTTAAAAAAGTTTATTTTTTAATATGAAATATAAATGTTTAAGATTTCTAATATTTTTTTCATAATATATATAGTAGACAGTATAAAGTTTTTACTGATATAGTTTGTTTACTTTAAACATAGTAAATAATACTTAATAAATTAAGTTTTTAATAGGTACGGCGTATATACTGGAGTTACTCTAACTGAACTATATCGATAGACATGTGTATTACAAATGCGAGTGCAATAATAATCGCTTGCTATTTTATCTTTTTTTTTTTTGTAAATAAATATACATGAAAATGCTTTCAATACACATTGTACAAACTTATAATCATAAATGTAGCCTTTAAAAGTCCTTCACTTTGGCCTTGTTACTTTGTATATAAATGAATTATAATCACTTATTACGTGTATAATAACTGATAACATAATATATAGCATATTATCTTTTATTAACGAGATCATTAATAAGTCTATTTTGTAACTCTTAACACAAGTTTCGTTACCAAGGCTATGACACACAAAAAAACTGAAGCAGTAAAACGTAAGCAATATGCGAATTGACTAATCATAGTAGAGTCTGTAAAGCCATAGCATAAGCAGTAACCAATCCAACATGTTGATTTTCTTATTGCTTACTTCTTACTGCCTTAAGTTTTTTGTGTGCCATGGCCGTAATGCCGCTGATGCGCAACGTTTTTAATAAAAGAGCTGTTTAGCGGCGTTGTAATAATAATGAAATTTGCGTTAAGAGTTACAAAATATGTAGATCTGCAAGAATAGAAAAAATATATTTATTATCTTATTAGACTGAGAGTTAGTATAGGAAGAAAAGAGACGCAACATCTTACTATTTTTTAAAAATTAATAACCAGATTGAACGATAAGTATATGCATATGAAATGCCTGTCGCAATATTTTTGACCTTCCGATCGATTTCTTGGACTGGTAGACACAACAACTTTTGTTTTAAGATTTGGCTCAATTATATTTCAGTATAGCACTTATCTTTGTCTTTTGAAAAAATATAAATATCAATACTCATTTTAGACGTTTGCATATCTGTATATTCAAACCGTATGTGTGAAATCCATTTGCTTTTTGAAGATATATACACTTTATTTGGCTTATATTTTTATTTTCTAC